CTGTATATATATATATATATATATATATATGTATACACAATAATTTTTTTATAATTACAAATAAGATTTTTTTAATTAATTTAGCGTCGCTGATCTATAAATAATAATATCAAATAAATTTGATACTTATAAAATGTAATGATAATATCCTTTTTGCAATTTTTGCTATTATATATCTCGATAATTATAAAATTTAGTTGAAAATTTGGATTTTAATCTGTTAAATAAAATATTATTTATCTCTTTTTATTTCTTGAATTGAGATGGTTTATATCTTTCTAAAAGAATAACATGGTATTCAAAATAAGTGATGTAATGAGATTTAAATTATTGAAATTTCACAAAACACGCACTTGTGTTTCTATTTTGGACTTCCGCGGTTATGTGACAAATAATATTTAGATAACAATGACATCGCTTTGCACGAAATTTTAGATCATAAACTATTTATAATATTAAATTGATAAAGCCACACACACTGTATCTCTGCTTGACAATCAATCTAATTAGATTACGTAAGATTACAAAAAAATGAGTTTATACATATGATATTTTTGATATTCATTGATTTGTGACATACGCTGACCGGTAATTTGTTAACAGTGACATCATATATGAATACCGAATGTGAAAAAAGTATCAAAATTTCTAAATACAAATAGATATTTTTGCAAAATAATAAATTTTTACTAAAAGTTTTACAATTCTAAATAATAAGCATAACATATACTACAAGTTTTTTTATATATAATACGTTATTTATGGAATATCATTAATGTTATTGATATATTTTTAAAACTATTTTATAAATAATCTTTTTAATATAATTCCCATAATTCCATCTTCAATAATCTTATTTACAGTATTATCATGCATTTTACTTCAATATTATCATGCATAGAATAATGAGATAAATTGATTGGTTCAAAGCGCATAATTGCATTTAAGAAAAAATATGCAATTTGCTATGTGCAATTGAGGAACGAACGCTATGTCGTTTGTATTCCGCGCATAGATGACCGTGACACGAACACTCAAAATGCGTTTACCACGCATCGACAATAAAAAAGGAAAAATAAAGATGTACAATCGATAAAGACCAGAAAATCAAACGGAAACGGCAATAGCCTGGGCAATAGCCTCTTGTTACATTGTAACATGCAAAATTTAAAAGGATTCTTGTAAAATAATACATGCGCTGAGAAAGAAATAGAAAAAGAAAGACAAAACTTACAATTGGCGTTGTAATAATGCAGACAATAAAAGAAGGTCGATGCCATGCATTGAAATTGTTAATTATCATTAATGACTTCCCACGTGTGGGAACTACAAAGGAAAAGCTTACTAATCCATTGACAACTTATTATGTACCAAGATATTCATAAATAAAATGCACATACAGTACTAATTGTGACATCATTATGCATATTTGTGTGATATCGAAAGTCTTGACAATGAAAACTTACTACAACATAATCTTTTAACAATTAAGCCTAATTTATTGCTTGTAATTTTGTAATAATCGTTGTTAATTAAAATTTCACATTGTGTAGGAGATTACAGGAGGTTATTACAGAACGCACAGAATATGGCGATGCAGTCGTAACAATAGCTTCAACAAACTTTGACACAATACGCGTAAAGTGTAATTTCTATATCGGTTTCAAGTTTAAATTAACTGAGATACACAAAATAAAAATCTCGTTTCATTATTTTATCAAAATTCGTGTTACAAATTATTAATAATTGAATTGTAAATGGACATTATACTGGCACAAATGTAATTGTTACTTAGAAAGATATTATGAGCATTCAATAAATATCTTTAGTTAGTTAGTTTTTTTTATGTTTGTTATCATTTTATAATATTACTATTTGTTTCTTTAAGATTGGACTTTAATACCCTGCAGTTCTTGGTGGATGTTGCATTACCAAATATCCAGGTTGAAGGGAAATATGAGATCGATGGCAAAGTATTATTACTTCCGATTCGCGGATCTGGTCCGATGTTCGGCAACTTCTCAAACTGCATAGGTATCTGCTATAAAAATTATCATTCACTATATACTGTATTAATATCAAACACCAATAATGACGAGCACTTAAATTGTTTTTTGCGAGAATTTGAAAGATTTCTAGTAATTAATAACATATAATTTGTATATTATTATAAACAATATTTTGCCATTAATGTATGATAATATTATGACATCATTTGCAATAATAACTTTACATTCGACTTATTCATCTTGTAAAATCTCAACTTTCCAGGCGCATGTAAAATACAGATTGCGAAATATCTTGATGAGAACGGCGAAGAGAAGATACGCATCATCGACTTCAGGATGAAAATCTCAGTGGGCAAAGGTACGCTAAAGCTAGACAACTTGTTTGGCGGCGAACAAGTTCTTGGAGACGTCATCAATTCGGCAATCAACAACAACTTCGATTTATTTATGAAAGAATTCTTGCCACTCGTGGAAAAAGCACTATCGGATGCATTTCAAAATATCGCTGGCAATATTATTCAACAATTTACATTCGCCAAGCTCTTCCCTGGTGCATAAATCGATGATTCAGACAATTGGGCGGGCTGGAAAATACACATTAAATAGGAGAATCTATTGCGAAATAAAAACAATAGAATAAACTAGAGAAATTTATTGCTACTTTCCGTTACATCGAATCTTTTTTGAGAAATTGCACATGTGCATATTCGGCTAAGATTCGCATCAACTTGGTGAATTTGTTGCGATTTTGTGCGGATATGGAGATTCAGCCTAATTAACACTAAATCGAAATTCTGCTTCGGTAAAAAGTAGTGGATAATAGAATTAAATCAAGATCATGGAACGATCTTGATGTTATTGATGTTATTTCTAAATAATTATAACAAAAAACGCTAATAATTTAAATAAAAGTAATTGATAAATTTGATATAAAATCTTTTAATATTTACAAGATTGATTTAACTATTTTATATTGTTACAAAATTAAAGCGGCATGAATTAGTCGAGTGTTTGCGCAATGCTAATACTTAAAAAGAGTAATGATTTTTCAAATAATTTTTAAACAAAATAGAAGTACCATTATCCAAAAATTAGAAAAATATTTTTATTTATTCATTCGTTTTATCAAATTTCATTTTATCATATAAAATCTTTTAAAAATACAATTTTTGGATTTATTATTATGATTATCATAAATGCGAAAAAAAATAAGTTACTAACAAGCGCCTAAAATTAGATTTAGAAATCTTTAATTAATTAAAATCAAATATTTCTTTGCAAATTTGTTAATAGAATATTATATAACAGAGTTTTTTCTTTAATTGACTCGACGCGATTGAAATCTCGAAATAAGTATCGGTATAAAAATATTACTTATCGACGCATAATAAACAGTATACTCTACAAAGCAAATCTAATCTGTCTCTTACTTATCAACAAATAATAATTGTTTATGGTAATATTTAATTTCATAATATTAACGAGTACCGATATTGGTGAATTCAATGCGTTACGAATTGTTATATTAAATATATAAATACATTATAGTTACTTATTAAATAATATATAAATACATTATTGTTTCTTTCATATTTTACTTCCCAAATTTATTATAATTTGTATGCAAAATAATTTACAAATTTATAGAATTTTTATAGAATTTTTGTAATATTTTATAAAGTAATGTCTTAAGTAATATATTATATATTTTATTACAATAGCAGTTACCAATTTATTTTGCAAATTGTAATATTTTTAATTGTAATTATTTATATATATAATTATATATAATTATAATTATATACATTTTAAAATATGAAACAATACATTTAATTTAGTAAATATATTTTTACTAATTCTGTTGCATCAAAGTAAATAAACAAAATATTATAAATAAGTAAATTTTTTACATTAAATTCATTTTAATTTATAATTCTTCTTTTTCTTTCTCTTTTATATATAAAAGAAAAAGATGCCTCTTCTTCTATATATAGGCTTAAAGTTTGTTTTTAATTTAAAATTCGAATTGTAAAATTTGATGCAAATTATGGATTATCAAAATGTATTTAAAATAGTATTTTTAACAAATTTATTCAAATTTTTTTCTGTAAAAGAATAATGTATTTTAAATATAAGTGTAGAGAATTAATATTATATTGCTATTAGGAGAAATCGAGTAGAATCGAGTAGAATCGAGTAACAAATAAACATAAGAACAAATAAACATAAGTGTTTATATATATTTTTTATGTAAAATACGCAAATAAATTTCATCGAAGAAATGAGAGGATAATGAATCAAAAGAACAATCATAAAGATAAATAAAAAGGTACAGACAAATTATAGGATATATAAAATGTGATTACATAAGAAAAATATTTTCTTTTTAATTTTACTACATAAAAATAAAGAACTAGATTTAAAATGCATTGGTTAATAATAAAAAATAAATGATTTTAATCTTAATAATCCCAATTCACATTTGCAATATTCTAACTTACTTACAACTGACTATATATTAATAACATGTATATTAAACTTAAGAGCAGTTTATATCATATATCACATATTTATTTAAATTTCTTTTATTAAAATAATTATGTGAATATAATGTTATAATATTTAAGTAAGTAATTTTCTCCAAAGTTACAAAGTATGTTATAATAAAGATATATCTATATTTTATTTTATGCGTATTATCTTATAATAATTCATTTTCCAATAATTTTGTTAGTATTTTTAATGTATGTAAATTGTTGTTAAATAACATGAGTAACAACAAAGTTATAAATTAGATAAATAATAAATACATAATATATAAAAAATATTTCATACATATATGGTGTATATATATATACACACACAAGATATAAATATATATAGAATATATGTAGCAAAAAATATCGTTGCAATTTTATTTTCTATATTTTTTGTAAATATATCATATATTGTGACATAAAAGTGTAATAAACATAATATTCAGAATGTATAAAATATTTCAAATTTAAATTTTAATATAACTGTAAAGCAATATAAACAACGTTGCTTTTAATTAATTATTATTTCATATGTAATTAATAAATTTGTTTATAAATATATCGAATTATATGTAATATTTATCTTCATTTCATTATGTAGCAAAAATGAAACAATTTTTAAAATATTTTTCAAATAAATTACAAAATATAAAAAAATAAATGTGCAACAATAATAAATTCTAAAAATTTATGAGATTTACGTTCGATCGGGGAAGAGCTCCTCAAACGTAAAATGTTTTACTATATCGTTAGACAGAGAAAGAATCCGTTTGACAACTACTTCTTCGAGTGCTGGTTTAAAGACTTTAATAACCTCCTCTTGATTGTTCCCTATGAAATTACTAATAACTTGATTCAATTGACTCAATTCGGCATTATTCAATCCATATTCAGCATCGTATCCTTTGATGTCGAGATTTATTTTCATCTTTGACATGTATACGTATCTTTTATTATCTTTATTTATTATTTTCATGTCCATGTTTACCTTTGCTTCAACATTTTCTGCAACATGCAAATTAAAGATTTTCAACGCAAACGTATCAAATAAATTTTAAATATTTCACAATGAAAAAGACATCTTTAATCTTTTGTCTTATTTTAATATAATATTGATTATTTACATACCTGTAATAATATAAACTGGATTCTTACTCGCAATGGGAACTAGTAAACGTATGTCGAAATCATACGTGGCATTCATTTGGATCCGTTTAAATAAAAGATTAATATCAAAGTGAAGATTTTCAAGATCTGTATGAAAGTATTTTACGACAAAATCACAAAGCCCCGTCACTTGCGTATCTCTGATAGATATTCTAGAGTTAGGTGTATCGGAAATATCTAGTTTGCCAAGAACAAATGGGTTATTTGGCTTAATGTCCAATTCTGGAATTCCTTCGCAAATTTTGTCTTTTAAATTTTCAACGTTTTCCAAGATGCATTCATCAAGTTTTGGATTTCTACGACCGCATACATGAATATAAGAGGCTAAAAAGGGTATAAAACATTTTTATTAATTTTGTAATTTTGTATGGAATAAGATATGTAGAATAACATTAAAATATACTTTAAAAGTATGCGAAATTTTTATACTACAGAAATATTTATTTATATTATGCTAATATAAAATTTTGGGAGATTTAATATACTGTAAAACTTTCAATAAAATTACTGCAAATATTATGAAATTATGACACACAAATTTTATATTAAATAACAAAATATTTGGTAATAAAAATTGCTTTAGAATGTTTATTTATTACTTTTTTATTTATCATTTTGTTAATTTACATATTTAATAACTTACATATTTAATAACTTACATATTTAATAACTTACAATATGCCTTGAAATTTTAGAAATATATGAGACGCGAATCTGTTACAAGCGACTGCATAACGAGTTAAGTATACGAAATATGTTGTCGTATTGCAAAAATTTTTCGTAAGCCGTTTTAGATGTATATGCTATATCATAAAATATGTGAAGAAATGTTCTACAAGAATTTCTTGTCCAAGTTGATATTTGCTACACCGTCACTTTAATTAAGTGTTCGAAGACTGGAACTCGGCTTCTTTTCGATTATGCATTTTTTCAATGGGCATTTACGTTATTGCTATCTAATACATGTTCACGAGCTGGCGAATGCGAGGCATGCAACTTGTATTGCCACTGTGCTATTGCATTATACCTTATAATTAATATTATCGCAATGTCCGTAGCACCAAATGGCTATTATATCTATATATATTATTATATATTATATCTTAGCACATCAGAATAAATAATGCAACTAAAAAATAATGCCTTATTAATAAGTTTTTGAAAACATGATGTTTGCATATAAGGCAAATTATGTAATTCTATAAATAATAAAAAAATATGTGCTCGTCATTTAAAAACAAATATTATATTATATTTCTTGTTTACTTACGTATTTCCGCTGTAACATAGTTTACTATAAACGTAACAATAAAAACTGTAACAAACATTGTCAAAATTGTAATTTTTAATATAACATGCACCAGCACTTTCTAAAACTTCACTGCAAAACGATTCGTTCAACTGTCGACCTGGCGAATGGTGAGATCAATCTGCGTCTATGGATATATATTTGTGCCGAAGCATAGATATTTATACGTGTGTCCTCGGTATGTAGTGCTTCAATAACCAGTTTCTTTTTCACTTTACATTTCATGAATCATTCGAATTCTGTAACGTTTGTCACACCAAAGTTAAAGAAATTAGAGGTAAAGAACTAAATAAGGAATAAAAAATGTGTAATAAAATTTCTTTCGTGGAAAAAAAATAAATATTTTATTGAACAAAGCATAATCATCCTCATGGATAAATATATTGTTAGAAAATTTACATATACTAATAAATAAATACATATATTAAATTAATTTTACGAGAAATATTCAATTTAAAAGATCTATTTAAATCTCTTAAAAATTGCAAAATCAAAATCAACAAGTTAATTCATAATAAATTAATTAATTTCTTCTGAAAAAAAGAATTATATGTAACAATTTTGCAACAAGTTTAAGTAAATTTTAATTTTTCTTAGTATTAATATATTCATACTAAATATGTAACTATTAATACATTTAACAGTCCATTTTTTATTCCTTAAATTGATTCTTTAAATGGTTTAATAAAAACAAGTTTTTAAATTGTCGATACAATCCTAATAGAAATTCATATGTCCTTGGAAAGCATCAGACTAACTCAAACTATAAATATACAAAATGAGTTCTGAGCATAGCACGATCGTATAAGAAAAATGACTTGATCCTTTTTATAGATCTTTTTATCATGATTATAATCAAGGTTATACGAGGAACAGATATAAGAAACAGATATAAAGAATTTCAATCCTTTTTAAAAAAAAATTTGCATAATAAATTCTATCATATATAATACTGAAATAAACAAGATTTATATGGGTGAATATATAATATATTTTTTCTACGTAATTTTTACCAGAGTTAAATTTTTATCTACTAAAACAATACGTTTTAGCAACAAGTAAAAATAAATCAATTATTAATTTTTAAACATATAAGATAGTTTTAAATAAATGTAGAACATAAATAATATCTATGTACATTATAGAAGATAAAATAATCAAATATCTGTTTGTACTTTGAATAAGATAGAGATTGATAAGATTTAAATTTGTTGCAAAATTGTTACATATAGTTACATATAATTCTTTTTTTCAGAAGAAATTAATTAATTTATTATGAATTAACTTGTTGATTTTGATTTTGCAATTTTTAAGAGATTTAAATAGATCTTTTAAATTGAATATTTCTCTTCTTAAATTGAAAATTAATTTAATATATGTATTTATTCCTTCAAAATGTAACAATTTTTTTATGTACAAAGTAAACATATTTTTTTATGTACAAAGTATACATGCAAAGTAATAAACAAGAAAAAAAACTCCTCCTTTGCTTTTTAGCGAAATAATTATTCATGTCATAACTAATAAATATTATTAAATATATGATTTGTAATCTATATAAAAATAGATTAACCTCTTAATTATAAAGAATTAGTATAGAGAATGCAAAGTTTTTCATCCGCAGAATTAAACAAAAAAAGCATTCATAAAATATTGTCATAATAAAAGTTATGTTAAGTTATTAAAAATATTGTGTTTATTTTTTTAATTTAAAAAATATTTTAATAATTTTAATTAAATAAAACTAAGAAAATTAAATATAAATATAATTATATACTTAATCATTATATAATATTCATTTTTTTAATGAAGCCGTTATCTTAACTTAAGATGTAAAATATCTAATACGAGAAATACCTCATTTTAAAGTATTATATGATGAGAATCGAAATATATATAGTATAAGTATTACTAGCCATTTTACAGCAATTTTTATGAGTAAATTCTTGGATGTTAATAATTATATTATTCTTTCATGTTATATAGGCTATAATTATTTAAACATAATATAAATTTTTTACATAAATTAATATAACATTAAATTGAGAATGATTGATTACACGCACGTGAATATATTCTCTAGTTAAATATTTAAAGCTTTAAATATTTTTATTATATATTTTTATTATTTTTATTATTTTTATTATATATAATATTTTATACATTAGCTATTAAATATTTTTATTTTCTCATTAATATTTGATATGTTAATTTTTATCAATGTATTTTGTGACAGTACATTTAATATTTCTA